TTGACCAGGAAGAAGCGAAACAATGCTATACCGTCCAGACGTCTCAATGTAGGCAGATGCGTCAATGTGACTCCCAAAGTTGATGGACTCATCAGACGTGAGTATAAGACGGTGGAAATCAGTGGCATTCAAGTCAAGTTGCAGCTGGATACCGCTTCAGATACAAGCCTGATCTCCCGTGATAGATGGTGCACGCTTGGGCGTCCTTCATCGGTAGAAACGGGTCAAACAGTACAGAATGCGTCAGGAGGTATGTTAAAGTTGCTTGGTCAGTTGAACTGTCAAGTCAGATTTCGTGATCAAAATATCCGCACAACATGTTTCGTGACAGACAAGCCGGGGTTAGATCTGCTGGGTCTCGACTGGATGCATGAGTTGGAATTGCTAGATCAGCCATTGAACAGCATATATCAGTAACCGCAAGTCACTCAAGTGCTACTATCATCACTTCCAAGCCGATGGGTTCAGAGTCCCAGCACAAAGATGAGACGATGGCAAACGGATAAAAATCGAGTAGACCGGGTCAATCATTTCAAAATCGGTGACATGCAGTATTTGCGAGATTTCCGTCGACCGAAGGGGTGGTCGACAGAATCGGTGATGGTCAGAACTGCAGAAGTCAATTACGAACTAAGGGTTAGAAACAAGAAATGGATCAGACACGCAGATCAGTGGAGGTCGAGCCATGGCAAAACACAAGGGCCCGCAGACAACATATATCGAAGGCCGGCCAGAAGGAGAAGAAAACCACCAAGGCAAAGGGTTGATGTCAAAACAAAGAAACCTGCCTTAAAGCAAGCATGCGTGTAGTGGAAGCAGCTTCAATTCGGAGGAGGTATCTCGGAGGCGAAATAGCTGACTATGATGGTGCACGTTAGCGGAGCGAGATTAGTCAGACCACGTGAGCGGCTGACAGACTCGTAGCCATGGTCAAACCAGAAGCTGACGAAATCAGCATCATCGCCGCACTGGTTGCCATGGTTCGGACGTGATCCTACCTACGGTCAGAAGGTGAAGACCGCTACTAGGGTCGAATCTGTTCAGACAAGAGATGTGAGTCATCTCAGAGACATCGGTGAGGTAAGCCCATATGACCTATAAAAGTAACCATGTTCTGTGCCTGATATAGTTCGGTCTAGCAGACTTGGTGTGCTGATTTGTCCGGCTGGGTTCGCATGACAATGCAGAGAGCGGAGAGAAAAGCAGCGTTACAACATCTGACCAACCCGATTGTGGTGGGAGTAAGTACTGATAGATATCCGGATTCCAAGCTGCGGTGACATTGTAATCAACCGCTAACATGGGTGCCACCGTCGCGAGCGAAGAGTAACGACAATGTAACTTTCGCTGTCGTTATATAAATTTTGTTTCGAGATTTAGAATGCACCGCATTCGGTTACTATAACGTAGTGACAGAAACAATTCAAGGAAAAAAACAAACAAAAGTTTGAAAATTTAAACAACGGATTGAGAAGACAACCAGCTCCCAGAAGCTGGTGATAGTTTCATCTTGAGTTCCACACAGCGAATCTCTGGCCGCTGTAGCAAAGTTACGCAGTATCTAGAAACGATGTCCGACGGGAACACATAAAAAGCACACCAAGGGTATGCCACGCTAGAATATCACAGTAAGCAGACGAATGTTACAAAGTGGTACCAATTTGTTCCCTCTGTTCACTTGCAAACCGACAACATATCAAATGATAACTTGACAAAAAATCAATAAATTGAAAGCGTGAGGTCACATGCATGCGAAGTAAACCTTGGCTACAAGTTGAGGAGGAATTATTAACTCCAAGGGAGTTTGAGCGTGACAGACAGTTGCTACTGGACACGCGATGTTGGAGAATGCTTTTTTTATGGCCACTGCCTCGGCAAACTTGAGAAATCTGGCGTTTGTGTTGCGATAGATGACACTAAACGCCGAGTTGGGGTTCACCTGATTACCCGCTTCCATCAGATGTTTCGCAATCGAAGAGGCAGGTATGTTGTCGGTCGACACGGGTCCCGTTTGCGGCTGCCTTGCCAAGGTAACGATACGCTTCGGAATGTGCTCCCCAATCAGCTTACACAAGCAACGATCTGTTCTGACGATATAACTGATGACACAGTTACAAACAACCCGATAGATACAGTGTGTTGTGGCGGAGACCGGCTTAGTAGGCTTGACTGGGGGCAGTGAAAGCTTCTTGGTTGTCCAGTAAAGGCAGAAGTAAGCGGCACCGAATGAAGCCGTATTGCAACTGCTGTGCGTCGTTCTTCCTGCCTAGCCAGAACATCCCCTCGAATATAAAGGATGCGTTTTCCGTGCAGGGTAGCAACACATCCTTGAGATAATCTACAGGAATCGGCAGAGGCACTTTCTCACTAGTGACAAAGTTACATAAGAAATTCACCGTCTTTCAGAGGAACGTTGGTAAACAAGGACTGTACATCCATGGAACACATCACCTTGTCTGAAATGGTTATTTCGCGTAACCGTTCGCTTAACTCAGTTATCTTTCAAAGTGTGCTTTACAGTCATCTTTCTATCTGGCGTCAGTAGTTCAACTGGCCAACGTGCTAGCTTGTGGTACGGGGAGTTATGCATGGATAATATTGGTCTGAGCGGGACGTTATGTTTATGAATCTTGGGTAGGCCAAACATCTGGGGGATGTCGGGGTCCAACGGTTTAAGAGTGTTGTAGGTCACCTGTGTTATCATCCTATGAAACAGTAATATTTTCAGATGATTGGTTACCCCCTTCTTTGTCAGTAGTGAGAAAGTGCCTCTGCCTATTCCTGTAGAGTATCACAAGGATGTGTTGCTACTCTGCACGGAAAACGTGACGTGTATGTTCTAGTGACAGGCGTGTCGACAGGTCCATGGCGTGGCTATGGTGAGTCCCCTTGGCCCTCTGCTGGCGGACATCTTCATGGCGATGGTCGAGTCGCGCTGTGAGCCAGACCTCGGATGAAGGTGTCTTTACAAGAGGTACGTGGACGACACAGCGGTGATCGCACCATCCTCAGTTTCTTATCCGAATTATGAACAATGTACACTCCAATTCCCGCATCACCTGTGAATTTGAGGATGATAACCGTCTGCGAGAAGATGGCATGATACAGCGCACCGTTTACCGGAAAGCTACATGGACCGGTTTGTATTAACAATTCAGCAGTTTTACACCGGTTCAATACAAAGGATGCCTTGTCAAAACGTTGTCCAATCGGGCCCGCAGGATATGCATCACGCAATGCATCGAGGCTGAATTACAAATTCATCACGCAGACCCTACGGGCAAATGGCTGCCCAGAAGCCTTTATAAGATTTCATAGCCGCCCCGCGGAAAGTGAACAACCGGTCGTTCATACTGTACCAAAAATGCCTGTCTATCTGGGAATACCTTTCAAAGGGGATGTTCTGGCTAGGCAGGTAGAACGACGCACAGCAGTTGCAATACGGCTTCATTCGGTGCCGCTTAATTCTGCCTTTTCTAGACAACCAAGAAGCTTTCACTGCCCCCAGTCAAGCCTACTAAGCCGGTCTCCGCCACAACACACTGTATCTATCGGGTTGTTTGTAACTGTGTCAGCAGTTATATCGTCAGAACAGATCGTTGCTCGTGTAAGCTGATTGGGGAGCACATTCCGAAGCGTATCGTTACCTTGACAAGGCAGCCGCAAACGGGACCCGTGTCGACCGACAACATACCTGCCTCTTCGATTGCGAAACATCTGATGGAAACGGGTCATCAAGTGAACCCCAACTCGGCGTTTAGTGTCATCTATCGTAACACAAACGCCAGATTTCTCAAGTTTGCCGAGGCAGTGGCCATAAAAAAGCATTCTCTAACATCGCGTGTCCAGTAGCAACTGTCTGTCACGCTCAAACTCCCTTGGAGTTAATAATTCCTCCTCAACCTGTAGCCAAGGTTTACTTCGCATGCATGTGACCTCACGCTTTCAACTTATTGATTTTTTGTCACGTTATCATTTGATATGTTGTCGGTTTGCAAGTGAACAGAGGGAACGAATTGGTACCACTTTGTAACATTCGTCTTCTTATTGTGATATTCACGTCAATACAGGGAACTCCATGCTTCAAATTTGTTATAGTTCTAGGGCCGAGCTGAAATCGCATCCACTAACTGCGATGAGCTTTAATCAACTAAGTGCTCATTCATAAACCCCGTATGTGCAGCTGTGTTTGAAGTGGAAGTTCAAGGACGAAGATGGTTTCGCTGATAACGGAACGCATGCTTGATATTGCCAGGAACGTAGCAGAGGCGGTCGAGTTCAGTTCGTCTGCTACTCCAATCGGAGGTCGTGAGAGAAAATTTATGCACAGACAAAAGGTGATTCAAGTTATACAGCTGTCACAACCACGGTGTTAATACCCACGCCGTTTTTGGCTTGATCTAGCATTGTCGTTTCGGCATATTTATACTTGCGTAATCAGAAACAAGCGGATAGTGTGGACGCAGGCGGCTTGATTCCCAAGCTGTCGGGAATTCAATCCCTCTAGATGGTCACACGTCGGCATCTGGTACCCGACAGAAGTACAGGCACGTGTGGTTTGATGAACAAAAGTATCCAGCTATAGCATAATACTAGACTGCCTGAGCAGTGGAATCTGATATTCGGTAAGTAGGAAGGCGCTATTAAGTGCATTGTGAATTGTAGGTAGGGGTTCTGTATCTCGGTGGTTATGTCGTTTATATGCGCAAAACTGAGAAGTGTCGCTGAAAACCAAGAGAATTTTAGGAGGATTACAAGCCAACTACCAAACAAAGGTCGATTTAAACATGTCAATTTCATGTTAGGCAATTCATGAGTTGTTCAGTTTATAGATGATCAGCAGTCGACGTACTGCACTACCTCTTTTTGTGGCGTGAAGTGTGGCTGTTCGCAGGTCCTAATAGCCTATGGTACACACTAGATCACATCATGTACGATCCCATTTTTTACCAGTAACCAACGTTTTTCTAAATAGATACTGAGTCGGACATTTTTTTCAGGTTTTGTTCAACGCTTGGTCGAACCGTACTCTCGTCCCAAATCCAAACGTGAAACGTCTGGGCCAAATCAGAAGAAGGGTGGAACCGCAAGGAAATGAGTTTGCACCAAGTTTTATGCAATTGACCAGTTCATTAACTTCGACGTAGTTATATCAGTCAAAACCAGCTCAAAAGAAAGTAAATACAAGTTGTATAGTACACACAAAAATAAACGTTTCACCGATTTTTAATCTGCTTAGCGGCTCGACTAAACCACGTGGTTTGTTTAGTAGCAGTGTAGCCAAAGTCAAACGCCTTCTACTAAACGACCAAACATGATTACGCCGGTCACCGCGACCCTTAAGTTTCAGTAAATACTAGCTTAATGGTTAGCTTGCTCGGAATCCTCCCAGTAAACACTAAGTACACACATACAGAGACCATTAGTTGTCACAACTCCTGGGCGTAATACTATAGAAGTACCATCTCATTCAAAGTCAGTTTGGAAGACCAAAACTGCAAAACAGCACTTGGTTCAAGGTGGTTTTATCACAGAACGATAAGTGTACAATGGAAAAACAGGACGGCGTGTGAAATACACTGTTCGCGAACAGATTATTCGTGCATGATTTCCAACAACAGCGCTTTCAAAAGCCGTGCTTCGTAGGTCACCGTATTTTCACCGGGATGGAGCTTGACTTGTTCTAGAGGCTGTTCTATCACGGCTTTTACATCTCGGCCGTACACTAGAAGAACGAACAAGAGGAGGTAAAGTTTTCGGACTATTATAGCATAGGGTAACACTTAGAACGCATGAATACGTTAATAAATAAATACGTTCCGAATGAAAGTAGTCTCTGGAGAAACAATTAGTATGGAAAACGACACACTTACGATCCAGCGTCCCTGAGATCGAGAGTGTTTTGCTCAAATTCACCGTGAAAGATGGACCCAGCTACGATTGTGTGTCGAAGCTCAGGCATGCAATAGTTAACCTTAACCACTGTTTACTTTAATGAAGACCACTTTAACCGTACTGCTGCAGTTTCTTCTTCGAATCGAATAAGCCTCAGTGAAAGGAATCACTGCTCGATCGAAGAATAGATTGGTGCAGTTTGCACTCAACGTTGAAAAGCGCGACCAGGTTTTTGCTATCAGGACACTTCCGAAGTATCGACCTGCCATCTGAAGTGTTCATTTACCACACGCTAAGCTTGTGTCTAAATGCTGGGATGTGAACACCGATCTCAACGACAAACAAGCGAAAATCACGCGCGACTACCGTGCTACCTGGGTTCGGGGTTTCACAAAACCACTAGTACAGTAGCAAGTAGGCTGATAGCTAGTATGAAGAAAGGCCTTGTCTGCTCACGCATGCGTGCAGCTAGTTCACATGAGTGTGAGGCTGGGTCGCGGTCCGTATTGCACGCGGCAACACCGTGCCTTACATACACGTCATTTCTCGCCTTTCCTTCTCACAAAACATTCAACCTACAGGTAATCGGATCGTACTAATTTGCGCTATTCTCTGAGTCATCTTGCATGGAATTATCTTCAGTGGATCAACATTAAGCAATTCCAGCCCTCTTCAAAGCTCTCTTGCTCAAATCCACGCATACAACCTTATCGCGTTTGGGCTACTCAATAATCACAGACGCGTTCATATACGATGTTTTCCAAGTAGCAACGGGACAATTTGTAGTCCACTGTTTGTCCATCATTAGCATCCACATTATGAACATCTAACCTCATAATCGGCACGTGATCAGAAAAGTACAGTCAGCATTTCAAACATGATGTAACGGAATTGAGGTAGAATCGTTAAGATGAGAATAACGCGTTCAAAGTGCATTATATAATTCCATCTTAAACGTGTAAGGAATTCGATCCAAGAAATAAGGTAGCACAACAAAGCAGCCGACCCCCTTTGGTTTTGTCAAACATGTGGAGTCATTCCAATTGCTAAGTGTTTATATGTGTCTAAAAAGAAGTACGATAGGCTGATTGAGACAATGGAGCATTTAGTAAAAACTAGGAGTGCACTCTCGGAAGTTAACACGGCTACGCTCGTACCTCAATCAGCTACTTCAAGCTTCGTCTCAAGGCCGAAGAAGAGAGTCAGGCACTACAACACCATTTTAGCGTCTTTTTATCCATAGCCTCTGACCCACCTCACTCCCCTAAGCGAATAGGCATCGAGCGTATTCGCACCAACCTATTCGGACGGTTCAACCCACATTAAGTCAGTGGCAGTGATGGCAGCTTCGAGTCCGAGTCCGTCCACTATAGAAAAGCCAGGTATTGTACGCATCGGTTGCCTTCATGCAAATGACGGTGAGAACCCCTTGACTCCGGTGGCAGCACCGAGCAACATTAGGGTGAGGAAGCTTCAGCCCACCAAACTGTTAAAAACGGTACCAATTATTACCCTCAAACCGACATCACAAGAAAGAATCACGGCGCCTTAAATATTGCGTGCGCAAATGTTCCGGAATCACAGCCTAGTATCATAAAGGGGAAGCTGATGGACGACCGTAACCAGTGAGTTCATTTGTGGTGTAATTGGCATTTCGGTTGAGCCTACGATGCTGAGGCGGGTCACGTCACTGCATTACAGAGAACATCGGCTTCTCCGGGTGACGCCAATTCCGCTGACGAAAGAGGCCGTTCTGTTGTCGCCCATTCAGCTCCGTAACTGACCACATGAGGTACCCATACTTTGAGAGGTCACTAGGAAAGAGTGTCCAAAGGCGAACAGCAAAGGTGAGAAGGTTCGTAAGTACAAAGACAAATTGACGATCATTGTTTACAGTTTCAAGATTTCAAACTTCATCCTCTGAGGAAGCGGAGGCAAATGACTGCGAGTAATGGTGTTACATTCACCAAGCATTTTCCTTTGACAATATCATTGCCAAACGGTTGACAGGAATTACAGTTTACTACAGCTATAAGGGGTGCGGTGTACGGCTGATAAAGGTGGTGCTTCAGGCTGAACTAATGACACTGCTCATGTTGAAATACTGGCCTTAACTTCATAAGAGGCTGTTTACAGAAATTCGCTTGAAGACGGCAGGTACTCGGCCACTGGTGGCTGATGATTCATTGGGGACGACTAAATCATTGAATCTTACCCGCATATAGTTCTGTGATGGGATAAACCTAGTACCAAATTCAGCATACTACGGAATACGTTGAAATACCAGTGACCATTAGGGCCCCGACAGCAGTGTACAGCCATATAACCCAACCGAACCTCAAGGGCCAACTACCGCACAGAAAAAACGGCTAGTGACCGACCGCTCAATGGTCGACGCAGTCTCCAGTCATGATACAACGTCTTTTGGTTACCGAGAAACTGTCCTAGCTGTACACCTAGTAAGTTGTAAGTTTCTAGTAAGTTGGTCGAACACCGTCATCGTCAGGCTTTAGAGCATGGAGTTATAAGAATGATCACTAACACGTGGCTGAGTTGTGAGATTACCAACGTTGAGATCGCTCTCTAGAACGACAAAGCGGATAGGAGAGTGAACATTTACAACAAAACAAACCTTCGATGCTAACCCACGGACGATCTACAAACGCGTGCCACTGATTTCCTTTGGTGCAGCCTATGGCTGTAAGACGATATCATATACCATGTGTCCTCAGTTTACCGACCTTCCAACTCCACTCCGGAAATGGACAACAGGCTATTATTGTCTTTGCGTATTGTGATGAATCAGAAATACCACCATATCCTCATGACGGGAGATTTCGAGATCCGTGGTCTGGAAGCTCCAGCAACCGAGAGTGAACAGTTCAAAGCTTATATGCAAGAGCTAATCTCCAGCACACCCTTATACGATCACGTCACCGTTCACACCAGGTAAAAATGCAGCGAATAAACCGTAGATGCTGGACCTAGTGCTTGCCAGCTAGGTGCTCATGGTCCATGGTATACAGCCAGTCTGAGAATGTAGGTCCAGCGGATCCCATGTTTGTTGCATCCATGAGCGCCTGAAGGAAACCCGACGCGTTCTCTCCAAACTGAACCCGTCCAATCGACACGCTGTGTAGGAGTGTAAGCGTCCATGAGACTGCGCGTAAGCTGTGTCACAGTTGTATCTCTATCCCTTTTGTCGGACTGCATGAGATGCGTACAGTCCCGTGGGTCAAAGCGTTCATGCCACCCTAATGTCTGATTAAACTTGCTACGCCGAATATCCCGATTCAAAGTCCGAAAGAATGCATTTTGTTACACACTACGGCGCGCTGACAACAGTTGCAGACGCTAGTTAGGCATTCATGACTGAGTGCACTCCAGAGATAATATAGAAAGTATTCTTAGAAATCTTCACGTCACTGGTCGCGAAAGCATCAGCGCCGAAATCTTTCTATCGTACTCCCAAACTTAAGTCTGTGTTATGAAGCAAAACACCAACAAATGTGTCCCTAAGTTCCTGACATGACAATAACAATCCCAGGTCAGAGCATTGGACATCGTACGTAGCTCAACTCAACTATTTTGCGCAGTTAATTCGTGAGGACAAGGTAACGCACCCAACAGGAGTTGGCGAAACGGTTCAGTTTGAACCACAAGCTTTTTTGTATACACGTCAATTGGTTTCGTAAGGTACAGTACAGAATCCTACCAGTCACTACGGTTGGTGGGTATGCACGTACATCAAAAGAGGCAGCTGACTCCTTAGGAGCCAAGTACTCATCCACCTTTTAAGGAACACAAGACTCGAATGCTATTCCAGTTTTATTACTGCACCATCAGATCTAATCAGCGTCATATTCATTGCAGAAATGGTGCTAAAAAGCTGCCATACTTGCGCACACACATCTCTCCTGGGGAGGATAAAAATCATTCGACAGCAATGCCACGCACACAGCCCAATCAATTGCTTGATTCTTTTAACGCTATCTAGATGAGAGCATATTTCTCTCAAAGTAGAAATGTGGTGTCATCACCTCTTTTCGCAAAAGAGACAGTCGATCTGAGCCTACCAGTTACCGCCCGGTAGCGCTTCTCCCTGTGCTCTCCAAGGTCATGTAAGCGATCATTGCAGACCCACTGATGGGCTGCCTGAAAAGCTACAGTCTCATCTCACTGGGGCAGCACGATTTTCGTCAGTATCTATTATGTACCACGAACCTGCTGATTGCACACGACAACTGGACTGAAGCGACTGGTGAAGTGAGATGAACCGATGTCATCCAGTTAGACCTTTCAAAAATAATCGATCGCTTGGGTCATCTTATCTTGTTTCATAAGCTACAGAAATATGGCATCGAGATGCAGTAATTGGATGAATCGGCGACTTTCTTCGCGAACAGCAATTGGAGGTTAGCTTCCTATCCTATTTGAGTCTAATGCGGCGTACCGCGGGGTCGGTACTTAGGTCTTACTTGTTCTCACTTTTCATTTAAGATATAGCGAAACTGATTACCACAAAATGCGTACTCTTCGCGGACGACACTAAGATTCGGCGGGCAACCAAGGCATTGGAAGGCCAAAGGATCCTGCAGCGCGACCTTGATGAGATCTGGAATTTGTAAGTGGGTAACGCGCTACCATCCAATGTGGTCAAGTACCTCGCTGTTTACGTCTGCCACCGACAGGCTTGGGGCGCACGATCTGCAGACCAACTCCCGACCTCGGTTGTTCCGGACAGTCTGAGTCCGCTACAAGTAGCCAGTAATAAAAGCCTTTACGTAACCGCTTCATAATCCAAAACCTTCCGAAATTATGAGTACCCAGTATTTTCCAAGTTTATTCCGAGATAATAAGGAAACTAACATGTGGGTTTCTTGTGCAGAGCACTCAGATGTTTGGATTCACTTAGCTTCCCTCTTACGCTCAACGCCTACGACGTCCTACTGTTTAATACGCTATCCAGGCTTGGCAGCCTTGGATAAACCGTGACCTCGCAGCGCCAGAGGCAGCGAAATATGTAAAGGTATTGCGCCACCTTCCATACTAGGAACGCGTGAAAAAATCCGGAGTGTTCATTGGACGCTACCGACGGCGACGGTATACCAACTCCTGTAAAATCCTAGTCACGTAAGCTGCCAGCACTTGAAACTCCGAACACCCCTCTGAGAGGCAATGGCGTGAAATTAGGTCAACAAAACTGTCGCCTAGAGTGTAGATGAGCTAACTTTTCCCTTCGGGTCTACCAATCCTGGAAAGCCCTTTTAAATTTAATTGTCTTTGCCTTCACCTGGGCCATTTTCGAAAAACTGTTGGATACTGTACCCAGCTCTCCACACTTTGTTGTATGAATGGAGGCATTGGAGTGTATTTTGACTAACTGGCTTTTTGGAAGTATCATCTACAATGAAAGCATTAAATCAGGGCAGGCCGGTGAGCAATCCGATTGTTCTTTACAATGATCACTGAATCAATGCATTATTTAGTTTTGCATAGTGCTAACTCAATCCAACAACTGCTTCTAATACGCTGTTGCACATTTCATTTGTTCCTCGAATTTGCAATTCCTTCCCTCGCCAACCTACAGGACATATTATCACAAACTATTGTTCCACGGTTTCGTGAAAACGAGTGGGCGTTCTCTTGGAAGGAATGAATTACCAGACTGATGTGTGATAAAACGTACCGAGTGGTAGACTACAACAGGTACCATAGTTGCACCTATATACAAACTCATCACTTACGTTCGCAGTGTTCCAAAAATTGAATGCAGTCCAACAACACGCTATCCCGAACAAGTATCATGTGTTTTGCCAAATTTTCGATTAACGATAGGAAGCACCGCTTGGCGTAATACCTAGGGAGAGAGAATGGTGTCACGTGTCATTAATTGGTAAGAACAACGGAAGAAGAGATCCATGAAGGTACCGACCGGGAAAGAAAACAAGCACTAGTTGTCCGAGTTGAGCCTTCAATCCAGTTCAGTTTGCCAACTCTCTGTTATGCCACTGAAGTGCAGCGGACAAAGCTTTGAAATCTCATGTCGCATTGACGAACAGTCGTAGAAATAGAACAAAGCAGTGCAGGAAAAGTTAACGTATCAATACCAGAATCGGGGTTGGAATTGTGCTATTGACTTCTGGGCTCAGTCATATGAACTGGAATCGGTTTGCATCGCTCATCCGGCAGTCGCTATCTAGCAGGACAATATGCATTGTCGAGTTTTCTGTCTAACGATCATTTACATGGCTGTTTACTATGCCAGCAGTTCACCGAAAGTAATCAAGATAATCAACATACACAGTTGCAGGCAACCACCAGGCAAGTGAACCGCATGGCTGAACCGACATAGGCAATCCGGACCCACATCATTCCACAAGTAAGCTGGAGTAAGCAGTACATATTCTATTGTACTGGGTAACAAATAGACAAGAAAAAAGTAGAAGCGAGATACTAGATATTACTGAATCCAAGGAGAAAACCGAGGACATTATGCTTCGCTTAGTATTACATGATGCGGGTCCGTCAAATATCCCCGCAAAAATGCGCCACAAACTCCGGCGGAATGGCTGCCAAAAATGGAGTTCAATTCCCTTCCCCAAGGTAGCAGATTTCAGCCAGTCCGAGACTCAGCACAACTGTGCACATGTTGACAATGTTGTTTTACAAACTACCACCTTGTTGCGGTAACTATTTTCACTAACTGAATGACTCATAGTACTGGCCGTGATTCGCCCTTTGTTGATCGTAAAAGAGCCTTCAGAAGACGACATGTCTTGCTTTTTCTTCGCCGTTAGTTGGGAGTCGGTTCGGTCACGTGATTTTTGTGGGCGTCGATACCCAGGCAGCCAGTTCGCGTCTACCGTCACCCTCTTCTGTGTACGTAGCGTCGTCCGTTACGAGCGCTCAGCCTCTACCCGAGTACCGTGACTAGGATCATTCTCACGCTAACACGATTTTCCGGCTCACCAGCGCGTATCCCGAGCTAAGCTAAAGCCATCACGTCAGCGCAAATCCGTTCGATCGGCCAGCGTTCCAAGTCGTTATCGTAGGCGTGCTCAAACCGTGCCAGTGACAATCGTATCAGGCTCAAATGCTTATCAGAGGCGTCTCACAATCTTAACAGTGGCGACAGAGTTTACGAACCATGACTGACAAGTACGCCGATTTAAAACTTATGCTGCAGCAACAAATTAGATTGATGTCTGTCCTAACAGACAAACTCTCAAGTTCTTCCCTTCATGCAGATCGAACTGCTAATTCTCAGCCAATGGACCATGTGGTTAACGGTATCAGCGAATTTCTGTACGACACCAGGGCCGGGATAACATTCGAATCTTGGTATAAGCGGTACGAGGACCTGTTCACCGTTGAGTTGGCTTGCCAGAACGACACGTGGAAGGTCAGGCTGCTTCTGCTCAAACTTGGTACGCTCGAACACCAACGCTACACGATGTTCGAGCCCCGCTCAATCGGTTGTTGCAAAAGGACGTTCCTTGGCACTGGTCCCCGCATGCGAGAAAGCTTTCGTTCGCCTGAAAGCCATGCTGAGTTCTGACCTAATGCTGACCCAATAAGACCCAGCCTTGCCGATTTTGGTCGCTGTTAACATCTCTGCCTACGGGTTCGGAGCAGTTCTCTCCCATCGATTCGCAAATGGCCCCGAGAAAGCTGTTATGCTGGTCTCCCGCACCCTGACGCCTGCGGAGAAGAACTACGGTCAGATCGAGGAGCCCTTGCCATCTTCTTTGCTGTCACCAAGTTCCACAATATGCTGTATGGCCGGCAGTTCACGCTATTGACCGATCACAAGCTCCTACTTTCCATCTTCGGTTCAATGAAGGGCATTCCCGCATACTCGGCTAGCCGACTTCAACGTTGGGCGGTCATCCTTCTTGGTTACGACTTCGAAATCCGCTACTGCCGTACTCAGGACTTTGGTCAAGCCGACGGTCTTTCCAGCCTCATTTCGAAACATGTCGCAGTAGAATACACCACGACTGCTGCTGTTACCGTCTACGATGACGTTCGTCGTCAACTCTCGAACGCTATCTGAAGTCTCCCCATTACTGCCGCCGACATACGTCGTGCAACTGTTCAAGACCCTGTCTTGCAGAAAGCCTTCACTTACCTTCAGACGTGCTGGACAAATATTGCCTTGTCTAGTGAGCTCAAACAACTACATCAACGCCACGACTCCCTTTCCGTGGTCAATTCCTGCCTCATGACTGTAGATCGAATTGTCGTTCCTTCATGACTCCGGCAAGCTGTACTTTGCCAGCTCGATTCTGCTCCCACCGGTATGAACAGAATGAAGGCAATTGCCCGCAGTTATGCGTACTGGCCTGGCACTGACAACGACATTCAAGATGTGGTTCGCCCCTGCCCAAAATGTCAACAAGCCTCAAAGATACCATCCCATCAATCACCGGTTCCTTGGCATCAGCCAGCAAAACCGTGGTCCCGAGTGCACACTGACCACGCTGGCCCCATCGATGGCATTTCCACATCTAGTCGTGGTCGATGCCTATTCCAAATGGCCAGAAGTGATCGCTGTCAACCCACCAACCGCATCCGCCACTCTGGGTTGTCTACAACGCATCTTCAGTTAACATGGCTTTTCCGAAATTTTTGTGTTCGACAATAATTCCCAGTCTACTTCTTTCATCTTCGAAGACATTTGTCGCCAACACTTCATCCAACGCCTCCGCTCACCGCCTTAACATCCCCAGTCCAACGGTCTGTCGACACCTTCAAGAGGGCGCTCTTGAAATCACACGGGGAGGTGACGCTGGATGGGTGTCTTCAAGTCTTCCTGCTCTCCTACCGGTCCGCACCGAATCCAGCTACGCCAGGATGCCAATCACCAGCTGAAGCACTAATGGGTCGCAAGCTACGCACCAGCAACGAAGCGCTCATTCCGACTGATAAGCTACCTAGTCACTCTAGTGCCTGCACCAAGCACAAAGAATTCGTTGTTGGAGCCACGATATACACTCGAGATTATCGAGCAGGTCGTCCATGCTGGATCAAAGCAACAATGACGCCCGGCGAGGTGACATGCTGCATGATGTCTCCGCGGGTGATCACAAGTGGGTTCGCCATCGCAACCAACTTCTACCGCACCACGGGGAACCCTGCACAACAGCCAGCCTTCCTGTGCGCCTGCCGCTGAACATCCTGTTGCATACCTCTGGATTGGCTACACAACGAGAGACCACGGTCGAAGCCGCTCAGTCGCCGCCGCTTCTGGAGAACCCGCCTTGCCGACGAACAGGAAGGTCGCCGAAATCCCTCCAGGTCAATCCTCGTCAGAAGCGGTCCGCTTTCTCTTCAAAGAGAGGGGTTGCGGACACGTCAAATACCCCCTCAAAAATGCGCCACAAACTCCGGCGAAATGGCTGTGGAAAACGGAGTTCAATTTCTTCCCCTAAAGTAGCAGATTTCAGCCACCGAGACGCGGCACAACTGTGCACATGTTGACAATGTTCTTTTACAAACTACCACCCCGTTGCGGTAGTTATTTTCACCATCATCATCATTATACACGTTAGCTAGAGGTGGAAAACACCCAAGCTACTGTGCCTCAATATATATATAAGAAAAGAAAATTAAATCCAAGTTGCATGCCAGCTGCGCTACCAGCAACGGATGGGCATCGTTGCGGTAAGCTACCGGCCGGCTACTAGGCAACAAGAAAATTATTATGTAACATTATATTACGCTACGAAATGAGATCGTGGTTGGAGGGGAGGCTAAAAGGGATGGGGAGGGACAAAGAAACTCATAGCAGGAAGGCCACTGAAGTCGGTTCCTTGCCATGTCATCAAGTGTATCTAGCCAAACGTGTTCGTCGTCTTTTGCACCCCAACCAAGGAGCCGTGACTCTCCAAGCGAGGCCAGTTCCGAAGTGAGGGCATTCATTCCTCTGGACCAAGTCATCGCTTGGCCACCCCTCCTCCTCTTCCATCAACACCCCCGGTGAGCAAACAACACACGTGGCTGGAGTCGGTGTGCTGGCATGCGTAACATATGGCTGAGCCACCGGAGCCTGGTAGGTGAAATGACGGTGCATATCGGTTCAGTTCCTTTTCCTGTGCCGTAAAAAAGGCGTCGAACACACCCGTTACTCATGCGATGTTCCCACCAGATGTGAGTCAAACTGCGAAGGCACCGATCGTCGAACGTAACTAGCCTCTTTATGTCCGCTGATTTTAGGCGCCAGGTTTCGCAACCGTACAGTAAGGTCGAAAGTACCGCAGCATTGTACACTCTAACCTTCAGGGTCAGAGTAATGTCGCACCGCCGCTATAGGTGGTGAGGGTTAGCAAAAGCACTTCGAGCTTTTGCTATACGGTTCGTGATTTCATCCTAAATCCCAAGGGCGCGGATACAACTTCCCAGGTAGTTGAATTTCCGAACGACTTCTAGCTGATCCCCACCAAGCCTCAACGCAGGAGGCGATCCCTGCCAATCTTGGAGGAACGCTTTGTACTCCGATGGTGCAAAGTAAAGTTCAAAGTGATGGACAGCCAGTGCTAATCTGCCCAGCGCGGTTTGTCACGTCTGGGAGCTGTCACAGATGAGAGCAATGTCGTCTGCATACTTCAAGACAACAAGTCGTTCTCCTGAGATTAGCTCCACACCTTCCAAGTCATGTCCTGTAGATGCAATCTCCATGACTTCGTCAATAGCGAAGTTGAAGAGAAAAGGTGACAGTGGGCATCCTTGTTTCAGACCGCTGGAGATATTGAAGGACGCTGACAGCTTGCCGTAAGCCTTCGCTTTGCCCATACTACGCGCGTATAATGCTCGGATAATATTTACATATTTCTCGGGCACATCTTTCCTGAGTAG